ATCTACATGACACGATCATTGGGATTCAAAGCTGCAGGAAAGGAAGATTTAGTGTGCAAGCTGAAAAAGTCTCTTTATGGATTGAAGCAATCTCCGCGACAGTGGTATAAGAGATTCGACAGCTTCATGATTGGTCATGGGTACACGAGGAGCCCATATGACCCATGTGTTTACATACACAATCTACAGGATGGTGAACACATATATTTGCTTTTATATGTTGATGATATGCTTATTACTTCTACGAATTCTTCGGCTATTTGAAAGTTGAAAGAGGAGCTGTCATCCGAGTTTAAGTTGAAGGATCTTGGAGAAACAAAGAAGATATTGGGTATGGAGATCGAGAGAGACAGTGTGAAGGAGAGATTGAAGCTTACACAGAGGAGTTATTTATAGAAAATGTTGAAGAAATTCAGCTTTGATGGCAATGCAAAATCAGTTAGCATTCCATTCGCACCCCAATTCAAGCTTTCAACTATTATGTCACCTGTTTTAGTTGAGGACAGAGATTACATGTCAAAGGTTCCATATGCTAGTGTATTAGGTCGCTTGATGTATGCGATGGTATGTACGATGCCAGATTTGTCATAGGTCGTGAGCATGATATCGAGGTAAATGCATGACCATGGGAAGGGTCATTGGGAGGCCGTGAAGTGGATTCTCCAGTATGTTAAAGGCACCATGGATGTTAGTCTGATTTTTCAGAAGAGTGAGAAGAATTGGCAGGATTGTATTGGCTACATGGATTCAGATTATTCAGGGGATCTTGACAAGCGTCAGTCTACTTCAGGATATGTGTTTACATTGGCAGGAGCACTGGTATGTTAGAGATGTACACATTAGTCTACATTGATTCTCTCTACTACATAAGCGGAGTATATGGCGGTGACTGAAGCTGTTAAGGAGGCTTTGTGGTTGCGTGGACTGTTGAAGAACTTGGGGATTGCATAGGAGACCCTTCCGGTATATTGTAATAGCATGTTGGTTATCTATTTGGCAAAGAACCAGGTTATCATGCATGCACGAAGCACAATGATGTCAGATTCAACTTTGTTCGGGACGTATTGAATGATGGAGATGTCATATTGGAGAAGGTCCACTCGAAGGACAACCCTGCGGATATGTTGACCAAAGTTCTTTCAGATAGGAAATTAAGTCATTGCTTGAAGCTATTGAATATTCTTCAGCGTTGAGGGCCTTTGGAGGCCATTTGGGTAAACTACGTTCTGCTTGATTCATTGGGCAAGAGGATACGTAGGCAGTCTTGTTTGATGCAGCCGGTTGGATTTGTTGATTTTGATAGGGGAGATTGTTTGAGCTCTTGTTTGGGTTCCCGACTTGTTGTGGATTGAGTCTGTTGAAGTAGGTTGTTTTCACTTTGTCCTGGTGTAACAACCGAGATTGTCGGCTCAGTTTTGGTAGAAACATTCGCCAAGATGGAGAATTGAAGAAATGGCGAGCACAGTAACGAAGACCCAAGAAAAGACGAAGGAACAAGTTTGGGTGCTGTGCGGTCGACCGCGTGTGGTGCGGCGGTCGACCTCTAACGTGCACGAGGATGAGTTCTGTTCAGTATCAGGTCGTTGTCAACTGCGAGTGACGTGGCGGTCGACCACCAAAAGTCTAGAGACTCAGAAATGTTTCTGTCATTTTCGGGATCGACTGCGATGGGTTTTACGGTTGACCGGCCAAACCCTGTAGGGTTTTTAGTCTCGGTCGTTGGATCCGGTCAACTGCGAGTGGTTCTACGGTCGACCGCGAGTCGGGTCTAAGCTGGGTTTTGGTTTTCAACTAGTTTTGTTTCTGAGTTGATATATAAGTCTAATCCTAATTAATTAGGGTTAAGCAATGACGTTTTGAGTAGTCTTTGAGAGAGGATTGTTGCATCCAATTGTGGGAGATTTGTGAGAGATCTAGAGACTTTGTTTTAGGGTTTATTCGAGAGATTTGTAACCCTATTTGTATTCTCTTAATTTCTAATAGTAAGAACTCCCCCCTCCTTGCCCCGTCGAGAGATTTGTAACCCTATTTGTATTCTCTTAATTTCTAATAGTAAGAACTCCCCCCTCCTTGCCCCGTGGACGTAGGCAACTTGCCGAACTTTCTAATAGTAAGAACTCCCCCCTCCTTGCCCCGTGGACGTAGGCAACTTGCCGAACCACGTAAAATTCATTTGTCTTGTTGTGGTATTGTGTTTGGCTTTTAGTTGTGATTTATCTCGTTCTTGTTCCTGTGGTTTCAAGCTTCCGCCGCGCACAATAATAAGAATCCTATATACATAAAACAGCATAAACCAATTGGCAAGAACAAAATTGCACCACTTCTTATGGTTGTGCTATTTAGACATATCTTATGTGGTCTCTTTCTTTGGCATTCCATTTTGAGCAACTTGCGAGCAACATGAAAAACCACAGAGACAATTTAAGCATCAAAATGCAATTCTTTTGGAATTTTTGAGTGAACCAATTCCTTTGGATCGACATCACTTTGGTGTTTGCACATCATATCTACAATCATCGAGCAAAGGAATAATACCAAGTCGCACATAATATATCGATGACGTTGAGATAAAAGCCTTACCCGTACCAATGCAAGAAAGGTTCTAACCTTTTCAGCACTATTTTCTATCAACAATAGTTAATATTTTTTCGTTTTCTTATTTTTTGAGAATAAGGATCTTAACTTGCTTTATCATGAGGGAAAAAAGGCAAGGAAGCATAACTGTTGGTGGATGGCATAGAATTTTCAAGTTATAGTAGGATGAAGAAGAATAAAAGAAATTACGTGGTCAGTTGGAGTACCAAAACTCAGCTAGTAAAGAGAAATTTTGAACAGTGTATGTCATTGTCGAAGTCTTTATAGTTGTAATCGTCCAGAGGATCACAATGAGCACACAACCCCATTCTCTTGCTTGGTTGAGTGGGAAATTTGAAAATGCCAATCGTGCTAGAGATCCAGTATATAGGAGCTCATGAGTTCACACAAAATTTGATGATAATTGGTTGCCAAATATCTCTAGAAAAATAGTAATATAGATGAGATGCTGAGAGGATTCTACCACACTAGCACAAAAGGACAGGATTAAGAAACATGCATTCCTTGCTTCACCACCTTTCCTTTGTAGGCAAATAATCGAGAAGAGCTATCCAAGCACTTATTCAGTATTTAGGAGGAGCTGGACATGACCAAAGACGCCGACAATGTGCAAACCTTTGTGGATGACTACAGATAATAGTGTATAGTGATCAAACCAAAAAAGATTCTAGTTATAGTAAATTTCCCATTTTTTTGTCTAATGTCTTAGACAGATGTTGTATTTGTAGAAGATTCATTCTTTAGACATTGTGGAGGATTTAGGGAACACAGCTTCTAATCCATATCCAACCATCCATCACTGATGATATGCGTGTTTGATGTAGGTCATACAATCTACTTGGTTTTAATGAATAACAAACGTTTATATATATTTAATATGTTCTAAGAAGTGTGCAGGTTGTGCATGATAAATTATAACCATATATAAACATGTATACAAAGTTTCATACTTATATAAAGTCATACACAAAAGTTATGTGTCAAAACAATAATTCAAAAGCGCAAAAACTAGTTCCTGCATATGAAAATCGATTCAGAAGCTTGGGAAAGTTAACTTTGAAATGCACAGAAGAATTCACAATTTAGTAGCAGCAAAATTCGATTCAGAGAAGTGGAAAGTCGACTTTGCACACAGCAAAGTTTACTTTGATGACTACAAAATCAACTTTAATGAAAATAAAAAATGTTGAAAATTAAGCAGCAACAAAATTCAGCTTTGACTTTGTGAAAGTTGATTTTGCAAAGCTAACTTTGAGTTTTAGGTGACTTTTGATGGAATTTGTGGACCCGAAAAGAGGCTTTCGATAAAAATTCTTGGACAATGGAGGGGTTAACAAAAATTTCTTTAATTCAAATAAGGGAGTACAACTTTCTCACAAAAGACTACACCTCTCTTTCTTTTACAAGTTACTCTCACAATTCAAATAAGGGAGTACAACTTTCTCACAAAAGACTACACCTCTCTTTCTTTTACAAGTTACTCTCACACCTACACACTAGTACACTACTTTCTCACAAAAGACTACACCTCTCTTTCTTTTACAAGTTACTCTCACACCTACACACTAGTACACTAGTTTTTTTACCTACAAGCTATTCTTCACACTCCTCTACATTTTTCTCTTCTTTTCACTTTGCTTCATTGCTTTCTTCCAACCAAATGAAGAGGGACTCATATATATAGGTGTGGTAGATCTTTCTAGAAACATTTAATTCATGAAGACTTGATTCCTTGAGATATTTCTAGAAGAAGGCTCCTTGAGATATTTCCAGAAGAATGCTTGACTTTTCTAGAAGAATGCTTGACTCCTCATTGAGATATTTCTAGAAGAAGGCTTGACTCTTTGAGATATTTCTAGAAGAAGGCTTGACTTATCATTGAGATATTTCTTGGAACCACGGAGAAACGTTGCTGACATTTAACATTCCCCCTCAACAACAATTTCATTTCTCACAAGTCCAAGCTTCTTCTTACGCTTCAAAAATGTTTGTCTTCGGTGGCTTGGTGAAGATGTCAGCGATTTGGTCTTCAGACTTTCAATATATCATCTTCACAATCTTCTTCGTGACTTGATGCCGGATGAAGTGGAACCTTGTCTCTATGTGCTTACTTCTTCCATGTGCTACTGGGTTCTTGGCAAGCGCAATAGCTGACTTGTTGTCTATGAGGATCTCTATTGGTGCTTCTTGCTCATGTTACAACTCCTTAATTAGATTTCTAAGCCATATCACTTGGCATGCACCTGCCGATGCTGCTATGTATTCTGCTTCACAACTTGATAGAGCGACGACAGACTGCTTCTTTGATGACCATGAGAATGCTGGTGATCCGATATTAAACATGTAGCCAAATGTGCTCTTTCTTTTATCTAAATCTCCACTATAATCACTGTCGGTGTAGCCGACTAATCTTGAATATGTACACTGTGTATAGAATAATCCTTGATCAATACTTCCTCGGACATACCTGAGAATTCTCTTGGCTTCCTTGAAGTGCTTTTGCCTTGGCTCCTCCATATATCTGCCCTCACCAGTCCTACCGTGAATACTATGACAGGCCTGGTGATGGTTAGGTAGCGCAAGCTCCCGACTAAACTCTTGTATAGAGTTGGATCAATAAAGCTTCCTGGTGTGTCTCGCCTCAGCTTCACTCTGACTTCTGCAGGAGTCGTGACTGGATTGCAGTTGCTCATGTTAAACTTCTGGAGGATCTCCTTTGCATACTTCTTCTGAGAGATGAAGATTCCTTTCTCTGATTGCGATACTTCTACTCTAAGAAAGTATAACATTTTTCCAATGTTAATCATCTCGAACTCCCTGGTCATGTTCTTCTTTAACTCCTCAAACATTTTCGGATTGTTGTCGGTGAAGATCATGTCATCCATGTAGAGACATATGATCATAATGTCTTCATCCTTCTTCTTAGTATAGAGAGTGCTCATACAGACTCTGCTGGAATTCATTCTTCTCGAAGTATGTATCGATTCTGGTATTCCACGCCCTGGGTGCTTTCTTCAATCTATACAATGCCTTCTTCAGCTTATAGACTTTATCTTCTTGGTTCTTCACCTCGTACGCTGGTGGCTGCCTGATGTAGACTTCTTCTTCTAGGTAGCCATTCAGGAATGGAGACTTCATGTCCATCTAATAGATCTTCCACTGGTTCTGTGCTACTAATGCGATAATGAGTCAAATAGTGTTAATTCTCGTGACTAGTGCGAACACTTCTTCATAGTCAACTCCTTCTCACTGATTATAGCCCTTTGCAACAAGCCTGACCTTGTACTTCTTGATTCCACCATCTAGATTTGTCTTTGTCTTGTACACCCACTTTACTCCAATGGGTTTATGGCCTTCAGGTAAGGTAGTGAGCTCATATTGTCATTTCTCTTGATTGCCTTGATCTCATCATTCATGGCTTTTCTCCACTTGTCTTCTTGAGCAGCTTCTTCATAGCTGATCGGATCACATTCTGCAAACAAATAGAATAGTGTATAGTCCTCCATCATCTCGATAGGTTCTGTATCGTCGTACAGATCTCTTAGACTTCTTGTCCTCCTTGTTGCTCCCCCTGATGAGCTTCCTTCACTTGAGCTGGATGGTGATGATGTCGGCATCAATATTAGGGTTGATAGAGCTGGAATTTTTGGTGGACTTTATTCTGGTCTTCCAACCTCTTGCAAGTCATCATCATTATCTTCAAAGAACATACCTTTAATATTTTTATCTTCATCGGTCTATTTCCAATAATCTTCTTCATCGAACTACATCTCTTGAATTGATCATCTTCTTTGTAACTAGATTGTAGAGCTTGTATGCTTTTGTTCTTCTCTCGTACCCAACAAATATGCACTTTTCTCCTCGATTGTCCAGCTTCTTTCTCTTCTGCTCTGGGATGTGTGCATATGTGATGCACCCAAACACCTTCAGATGGTTGACGATTGGCTTGATGTTGCTCCAGGTCTCTAGTGGTGCCTTGAACTTGATGTTCTTTGTTGGACAACGGTTGAGGAGGTAAACAGCACAATCCACGGCTTTGGCCCAATAAGTCTTTGGCAGGTACTTGCTTTTCAACATGCTTCTGACCATGTTTAGAATAGTACGATTCTTTCGCTCTGCTATGCCATTCTGTTTTGGTGTGTAGGTGGCTCTGAGCTGATGGATTATCCTATATTGCTTGTTGAAATTATTGAATGCCTTCAAAGTGTATTCTCTGCCTCGATCTGATCGGAGCACCTTGATGTGGTACCCACTTTGCTTTTCTACCATCTCCTTGAATTCTTTGAATTTCTCCAGAGCTTCAGATTTCTCCTTCAAGAAATAAACCCAAGTTTTTCTTCTATAATCATTAATAAATGTAAGAAAGTACCTGTTTTCTCTAAGTGAAACAACTTCAAATGGTCCCACAATGTCTGTATGTACCAGTTGTAGCAACGTCGTTGCTCGTCTAGACTTTCCAACTTTAAAACTTCTTCTATGTTGTTTTCCCTTCATACAGCCTTTGCATAGCTGGTTCGGATGGTTGATCTGCGGCAGCTCTTTCACCATTTTCTCCTTCCACAAAAGATTCAGACCACTGAATGCGAGATACCCGAATCGTAGATGCTAGAGCCAAGTCTCATCTTTTATGATTGTCTTCAGGCATTTGACAGAGTCAGCATGAATATTTATGGTAAACAGTCTATTTCTAGACATGTTCACCTTTGCAATAACTTCATTTTTATTCTTAATAGTGAGGGCAAGGTCTTTTAGATGTATATCATAGCCTCTTTTAAGGAGCTAGCCTAGACTCAAAATATTATTTTGTAATTTTGGAACATAGTAGACGTCAGAGATGTACCTGTTCTCGCCTATCTTTGTCTGGATCATTATCTTGACCTTGAACTTTACTAGAATCTTTGACTGATCTCCAAAAGTGACATCTCTGTTTGTGGGAAATTTGCAGTAAAAAAACAATGAAAGAAAAATTGATTTGTATTCTCTCAAAATCGATTACAATTTGGATTCCGATTACAAAAGAGAGGAGAATGAATTTGATTCTCCTCTTTGTTTAAAACTGGATTCTTCTTGGTAGCGGTGGAGTGCCTCCTTCGATTGCTTGCGTCGAACTTGCTCTCCGTTGACGATCCGACCGTACTATCTCACGAAAATGATGAATCCGGTTTAGAACTCTTAACAAGTTTAATAAACTCAGAACGAGTTGGAAACTTTAAAAAGAGTTGGTGAAAACTGAATAACTGATTGATGTAATTAACTTGCGTTGCAAGCTTAATTACGAACTCTTAAAGGAGTTTCAGAACTCAGAGCGAGTTGAAACTCTGTAACAGAGTTGTTAGAACCGAAGATTCGGTTGATAGCCAAGTTGATTCGCCGTTGATGAAGGGATCCTCTCAGATTTGATTTGCTAACTACTGAGTAGTTTGTTGATCTTCAGAGAAATCTCCTTCTCCGTGCGGTTTAGCTGCTAAGATTTACTAACCTTAATAGGTTTTGGTGCCAGCACACGTCAACCCCTTACTCAGTTGAGTAAGTCGGTTATTTATAGGGGGATTAGGGGTATAACTAACCCCTAAATCCGCTCCTAAGTGGGCGAAAATCCCTCAGAACGTGGGATAATGGTTTTGAGGCCGTTCGGCTTGTGTTTGAACAAGTCAAACGCCTAATTTGGCGTTCTGGACCTTAACTCTGCGTCTAAGGCCTGAGACGCAGAGTTAAACCTTTGACAAAGGTTTGAAACGCACAGGCCGCATGCGTTCTGGAATTGGAGACGTACAGGTCACTTGTGCATTGAAATTCAACTCTGTATCAAGAGTTTGGGACGTATGGTTGAGTTTGTTGAAGAACGCACGTTATGTGTGTGTTTGTGCTTTAACTCTGCTGTAGGCATCGAAAATTGCCTATAGGTCTCCACGAACAGCTCAAAGCTAAGAGAAGATGATGAACGTCACCATCTAGTTCATAGAAGTTTGATTGACTTCGACGAACGCTTGAAGTGAGTCGACAAACTATGTGAAGCAACGGAGTTTTAGAATAAAGATACGAACTGATCGGGAGCCCCGTAACACTTACAAAAGACAAAATGCCCTTCATGTCTCATTTATTGCACAGATGATCTAATCATTAGAGCTTATAGAACTCCTCGCTGACTTTCCAACGCACTTTGAATCGTTCAAATCCGAGTTCGGATGAAGAAGTTACGGTAAAAACGAACAAACAGGCATAACGGAACGTCTCAGGCTGAACTGGGACACCCGAGGTGTCTCAGCAATTGTGGAGCTGTTTTCACCATGATTCGTTTTGAATCTAAAGAAACTCAAAACTGGAAAGTTGTAGATATTTTTGTCATCTTTCCAACTCATCTAGAATCAGATCATTTGGAGGTCATATGAGGAAGTTATTCCTAAAATAGCGCCGAGACACCCAAAGGTGTCTCGGACCTGGCCGAGACACCCAAAGGTGTCTCGGAACTTGTGGAGTTGTTTTGACCATGATTTGTTTTAAATATGAAGAAACTCAAAAAAGGAAATTTGTAGATATTTTTGTCAACTTTCCAACCCATCTTGAATCGGGTCATTTGGAGGTCATATGAGAAAGTTATTCCTAAAATAACGCCGAGACACCCAAAGGTGTCTCGGACCTGGCCGAGACACCCAAAGGTGTCTCGGAACTTGTGGAGCTGTTTTGACTATGATTCGTTTTGAATCTGAAGAAACCCAAAACAGAAAAGTTGTAAATATTTTTGTCACCTTTCCAACCCATCTCGAATCAGGTCATTTGGAGGTCATATGAGGAAGTTATGACTAAAATAGCGCCGAGACACCCAAAGGTGTCTCGGACCTGGCCGAGACATCCAAAGGTGTCTCGGAACTTGTAGAGCTGTTTTAACCATGATACCTTTAGAATCTGAAAAAACGCAAAACATTAAAGTTGTAGATCTATTTGTCAGCTTTCCAACACATCTTGAATCACTCAAATTTGAGTTCAGATGAAAGAATTAGAGCCAAAATACTAAATAGGGTACAGACTGTCTCGCACAGGTGCGAGACACCCCGAGCTGTCTCGCACTTGGGACGTGTTTTTGACGGTTTTCGATCAGTTTTAACCGCTCCGTTATCCCCTCAAGCCTATAAATACAAGCCTTAGGTCTCATTTTTTGAATGGCTGGAATTCTGGTACCGCGACGAAGCCCTGCCGGATTGAAGACTTAAAGTCCACAGATTTCAAGAGAGGAGGAGGAGAGATCGGATCTAGTTCTTCAACGCAAGAGAGAGAGATTCGTCAGATCTACATCACCCGCATCCAATCCTTAGTATTATCCCGTTGTGGTAATTCTAAGAAGAGCAATTATCTCACTTTTGTCGAGATAAGCGCTTAGTTTATTGTAACGACTAAAGTTGTAATAGATTCGATAGCAATGAAAACAGCAACTTTCACAGCAAACAAACTGGCGACCACAGTGGGAGCCAACAGCTTCGCTGCCGAAGCTGTCGTGCCGCAGCTGACGATCAAGAGCCCGGTGCTCGAAGAGGTCGAATACGAATTCGACCAGCAGAAATTCGAAGAGTACATCTCCTCCTCCTCCCAGAAGATCCGCCGGTCTCTAGATGTGAAGATCCGAGAAGTCGATCTCCCCATAGTCGATGCTACAGTTGCACTTTACAACGATCTGCCGACATCCGATGAGACCAGATCTGCAGATCTGAACACCTTCGCGATCAAGGAGCCGACTGCTGAAGATGCGCCAACTCTATCAAAGAGAGCACGTCAAAGAAAACGCCAACGCCTCGCGCGCCAATTCTCCAAGGCTTTGGATCAGGTGGATGGACTCCATTACCAAGCAGATCTGGAGTTCAGAAAGCGCCAAGTGGCTAATCTGTTGCCACGA